ACGAGACTGGGGAGGGAAGATGGAGGGGAGCGAGACGGGAGCTGGCGAGGGAAAATGGAGGGCAGCGAGACGGGAGCCCGCAAGCATCGCAAGCATCATTGCAGGCTGCTCTGGGGCAGTGCAAAAGTAGAACGAAGCATGGGTGGGGGTAGTGCTGCTCCATGCTTCGCGGAAGCCCGTTGGGAGGTGAGTGGAGCGCGATGCTTGAAATATCATAGTTGCCACGAAGCCTGGAGGGGGCTGATGCTTCGTTTTGGTCTGCTAATTTGCGTCTATTTTTCCTGGGCTGCGCGCTTCTTTTTGCTTTTGGGTCCGCGGACTCACCTTGTTTTTTCAGCTTTGGAAGGAGCTGCATGGAGGCAGCGCGAGGACGGAGATTTCCCGACTAGCGAAAGAAGAAGGTCGCTATGGTGCCTGAGACTGTGGGAGCACAAGCCCAGTATATGGCCTTTAAGGTTCAGGTCATGTCGTCCCTTCCTATCGGTTCAGCGCTTATGGTCCCTGTTGGCAAGATCCTCCATTGACGCTCTGCAAAAGATTGAGGCTATCAAGCAGGTGATCTCATGCTACCTCGGCGTCGCTCCGGGGGCCATGAAAGGGGCTCGGGCGGCAAGAGCTGCCAATTTGCTTGGCCCACCATGGGCTGCGCGCCGGCCCGTCAACGCACGTACTGGATGGGCGTTCCGGGCCAACCCGGGCAATTCCAAGTGGATGACCCATGCGCACCACCGGGCGAGATCCGCTCAACGTTGAGGATGCTCTTGCAAGAAAGAGAAAGTTGGACACCTTGACCACAAGAGTCGTCAGAGCAAGGGCTCGCAACGACGGAGCTGCCAGCCTGCTCTTGACAACTTTTCAAGTCGTTGACCCAACCGTGGGACAGCCAGTGAAGGTGGAGCCGGAGGAGCCAGACACCAGTTCAGCCCACACCAGTGAGGATTTCTGGCTAAGAATGACTCATGGAAGCAGCTGAGCCCAGACCAACGATATGCCAACTGGTGTCTTCCGGAACTTCTTCGCAAAATTCTTTGAGGACTTTGCGCGCGAGTTGGCAGCAAGTTATGGCACACAACGGGATGGAGCAGGCACAGTTGGACACCTCCTCTACTCCCCACCAAGTTTTGGTTGCCGCTGCTGCGCCGCTGCTACCTTGTCTCCCCACTGTCTCCTTACACGTCTCCCCACTTGTGTGCCTGTGCGACGGCCGTTTTGGCTTGCCATTGCTGCGCCGTCTTGTGTTCCCACTTGTCGCCTTACGTGTTTGCCTGCGCCGTGGGCGTTCTAAGAGGAAAAGATGTGTTTCCGTTAGAGTTATATAGTTGCTACTTGGGGTCTATGCCGGTGTAATTTTTTGGTAGTGGAGGGATCGAGCAGAGCAAAAATGATACAACCCTTTGTTTTGTTTTGACTTTTGACTTACACCGATGCGTTCAAAAGGTTAAAAAGTAAAAGGAGGCAAGTATCAATGTCAAGGCGTAATGTTTTTCCCTTGAGCGCAAAGTGCTGGGGCTCAAAGTCACGCATAGGACGCAGGATGGGCAAGGATGGCTCTGATTTCGCAACAGATTGATACTTGTACGTTGCCATGTGAAGTTTGTCAGGCAGTTCTTCCTGTGGTATCCGCTGGTGTTGGCGTCCTATCAATTTCAGGAGACTGCCGAGGAGGTGCGCTCGGCTTATCATTTTCTCGAATGCGTAGCGAAGGGTTCTCGTTTAACTCTGGGCGTCCGGGGGAAGACTCTTGTTCGCGACTCGTTGTTGTAGCGGTAGCGTCCGCGACCGTTCGCAACCGTCCACAGGTTTAGGGAACGGCGAGGTGTGGCGGTTTGTGCATGTTGGAGGTGTGGACGCGCAAATTTTCGTGGCAGGCGCAGGGAATCGCGAGGTTGCTGTGACATTGGGATTGGGAAACGCTCTCGTACGAAACGCTAGTTTTGGAGATGTGACGGTTGACTTTGGTAGCAACTGCCTACAAGAGTGCACCGCAAGAGTGCCCGACCAGAGTGCCTTACAAGAGTGTCGCGCAAGAGTGCCCTACAAGAATCTCCCACAAGATTGTCCTCCAAGAGTGTTCCGCGCGAGTGTCCCACTAGAGTGCTCCCCGACCAGAGCGTCTCAGACGCAAGAGTGTTGCGCAAGAGTGCCCCACAAGAATCTCCCACAAGAGTGTCTGCAAGAGTGTTCCACGCACGTGGCCCCGCAAGAAAGTTCGACAAGAGTGCCCTACAACAGTGTCCTACAAGAGTGTTGCGCAAGAGTGTCCTACAAGAATGTCCCACAAGAGTGTCCCACAAGACAAGAGTGTCCCACAAGAGTGACCCACAAGAATGTCCTGCAAGAGTGTCCGATGGAGTGCCCTACATACAAATACAAGAGTGTCCCACAAGAGCGACATACAAGAATGTCGCGCAAGAGTTTCCCACAAGAGTGTCTTACAAAAGTGTTTCGCAAGAGTGTCCCACAAGTGTGTCCCGCAAGAGTGTCCCGACGAGGGCGTCCTACAAGAGTGCCCCACACGACTAAGAGTGTCCTACAAGAATGTCCCACAGGAGTGGCCCGCAAGAGTGTCCCACAAGAGTGTCCTACGAGAGTGGTCCGCGAGAGTGCCCCGCGAGAGTGAGTGTCCCACAAGGGCTTTCGACAAGAATGCGTCCTACAAGAGTGTCTTGCAAGGGTGTGGTACAAGAGTGTACCACAAGAGTGGGCTATAAGATTGCCCCACAAGACTTTCCCACAAGAGTGTCAGTGTCCAACAAGAGCGTCCCGCAAGAGTGCCCTACAAGAGTGTCCCACGAGAGTGTCCTACAAGAGTATCCTGCAACAGTGTCCGCAAGAATGTCCAACAAGGTGCCCTACAAGAGTGTCCCACAAGAGTGTCCCACAAGAGTGTCCCGCAAGAGTGCCCCACAAGAGTGCCCTACAAGAGTGTCCCACGAGAGTGTCCTACAAGAGTGTCCTGCAAGAGTGTCCCACGAGAGTGTTCCGCAAGAGTGCCCCACAAGAGTGTCCGGGCCACAAGAGTGTCCGACAAGAGTGGCATACAAGAGCGTCGCGCAAGTGTGTCCCACAAGAGTGTCCTACAAGACTGGCCTACAAGGGTGTCCTACA